GGAAGCGCTGCCAGACGGGCCTCTCGCCCGCGCGTGTCGAAATGATTTGAACGCTCTCGCGACCATGCTGGAGGGGGGCGGGGGGGCGGGCGGGCGACCGAGCGGGCCTCTCGCGCGCGCGTCGAAATCACGCGAATGCCCTTGCGCCCGTGCGGGGGGCGGGGGTGGGCGCCCCCATGAGACCGCGCGGGCTACTCGCGCCCGTCTGCCCCGCGCGCATGTCGGAATCCTTTCGAAACTTACATCGCTTACGCGTTGACAGCGCCGTCGTCGTCGACGCGGTCGGCGTCGGCGCCGTCGCGGGCCTTGCCGCCGTCGCCGCCGTCGTCGCCGCCGTCGTCGCCGGCGCCGCTGCCGTCGTCGCCGCGTCTGCCGCGGTCGGCGTCGCCAGGATGCCCCGCCCGCCGGGGTCGCCGACCCGCACTGAAGCGCCCGCGCGTTGGCGCGGCCTGCAAGACGCGCTGGGAAGTGCCGAGGTCAGCGCCGCTGCCGCCGCGTCGGTCGCGCCAGACTAGCTGGTCGCTCTGCACGCGAGCCTGCGCGCGCTAACGCGGCCGCGGCGATGCGCCAGGCAGCGCCGAGCAGTCATGGCAATCGCCGTCGCAGTGGTTTTGCAAACCAACGTGCGGGAGGACGGGTAGGATGATGGCTCGAGCAGTGGAGTTGGCGGCCTCAAGCTCGCCGGGATTAGCGTCGCCACGCAGATTGCGCCGCATTTATCGCGCCATGCAAATTGCTTACTTTCCATATCGCAGCATATCTTGCGCCACACATACTGCATCATATGCAGTGCGCCGCGTAGATTGCACCGCGTAGTTCGCGCCACACGGAATGCGCCGCGTAAGTCGCACCACGCGTATTCCTACGGTCAAATATGAAAGTCGGTCTATACCCCCTGCTTGTCAGAATTGTCCAGCCCCTCATTTAGATAGTGAAATCTACGCATGATTATCCACCTCTCCCCTCCCTTCGCCCCTGCCAACTAGCCTTTTGCGCGCGCGTTCGTTCGCCGTGATTGCATTTTTCCGAGAATGCCTAGCGACCGTTGAGACAGCGCCCACGCGCGCGCCGCGTGAACTCGCGTTCTGCGTGTGCGTTTGCTCTCCGAACCTTGGCGCCCGCGCGGATGTCAACGTGGAGTTTGGCGACGCGTCGAAGACCGTTGTTTTGCGGCGCTGTTCTTTCTTGCTATGCAAAGTGCGCGCTCCCTGGCTGCAGGAATCCGCTGCGACGCGCGGGGCGAAGCGCGCGCGCGGGGTCGCGCGCGCGCGCCAGAACCATCGAAGCGTCGCAGGTTTCGCGCGGGCTTTGATGTCGAGCGCCCCGAAAACATATACCAGACAGTGGTTTCGCAGAGGGATTTTTCACGAAGGGCAGTGCCCGCGACCTCGCAAATTCTCGCGACAGCCGTCGGCGGTTCAACGGCTTCGCCAAATGCGATCAAACGTGCCCATTCGCGCGCGCGTCGAAACCATTCGAACGCCCTTGCACGCGTGCTGTCGCGAGCATCAAGAATGCCTTAACGCGACTGGGGCGAAGTGCCCGCGCGCTCGTCGTCGCGCGCACATGCCGGAATCTTTCGAGCCACTTAAGTTTCGCGCAGGTTTTCAAGTCGAGTGTCGAGTGCCCCGAACACGTAGAAAACAACCAGACTTTCAAACAACGCCTGCGCTCTCGCTCTTGCGTGTTCTTGAGAGGGCCGCACCTTTCTTTACATGCTACTACGCGCGCCTCTCGCGCGCGCGTCTCGAAATCATTCGAACGCCTTTGCGTGCGTGCTGGGGGTTGGGGGGTCGCGATCCCTGTCGAATAACGCCACCCGGGCCACTTGCGCGCGCCCGCCGCGCGCGCGTGTCGAAGTCCCCCTCGGATCTCTCCATCGCCGACGCAACGCGCGAGTGCCATCGTCGTTCTCGGCGTGGTCGGCGTCGGTGTCGTCGTTGCCCCTGCCGTCGTCATCGTCATCGTCATCGTCGCCGCCAGCCAGCCTCGCTACTATCGGCATTGTGTCTGCCGTTGTCGACGTCGCCATGATACAGCGGCTGCCCGTGTCACTAGCTCGCGCGGAAGTGCCCGCGGGTCAGCGCGGCCTGCAAGACGCGCTGGGAAGTGCCCGGCGGCCGCCGCCGCGGCTGCGTCTGTCGCGCCAGACTAGCAGGCCGCTCAGCGAACGACCCCGCGCGCGGTATCGCGGCCGCGGCAACGCATGAGCCAGCGCCGAGCAGCCATCGCAATCGCTGCCGCATGGGTTTTGCCAACCAAGTTGCGGGTGGGCGGGCGCGGCGTTTGCGCGAGCATGGGAGGTGGTCGCGCGCGAGGAAGTTGCAGTACTTCGCGCCGCGTCGGTTCTCCTTTCTAAGAAGGAGGCCGGATCTACCCCCCCCCCGCCCGGTTATCCATGCCCCTTGGGGCTGCGCAGTTTGAGCGCGCTTCTGCCCCAGCCCCCCCCCGACCATCCTCGCCCAAACATAACAGTCATAAGATGCGCGCGCGGTCGTTTATGAACAGTCATCAGTTTAGCAGAATGCCTTGCGAATGCAAGGGGCGAAGTGCGCGCGCGCGCCGTCGCGCGCGCGTGCTTGAATCTTACAACGCACCTTCGACGTCGTCAGGGTTTCAAGACCGAATGTCCCGCGCGCATCTGTGTATACATGTACAGATACACACGCACATATATATATATATATATATATATATATATATATATGCATATGGTTGTGAAACAGAATGCGTCCAAAAAGGTCTGCGCGCTTTTGCAAACTCTTGCGAACAGGATCGGTTGTCCAGTTTTTTAATTCTCCACGACCAAACGGGCCTTTTCGCGCGCGCGTGTCGACATCATCCGGACGCCCCTGTCCGCGTGCTGGGGGTGCCCAGCCCTGGTCAAGTATGCCATGCGGGCCACTCGCGCCCGTTGGCCGCGCGCGCATGTCGAAATCCGTCCAACACCTTCACCAGCGACCCGTGGACACCATCATCGTCGTCGGCGTGACCAGCATCGGCGCCGTCATTGGTCTTGCCGTCGTCATCGTTATCGTCGCCACCAGGATCGCTACCATCACCATTGTCTGCCGTTGTCGACGTCGCCATGATACCGCGCCTGCCCGTGTCACCAGCTCGTACGGAAGTGCCCGCGCGTCAGCGCGGCCTGCGACACGCGCTGGGATGTGCCCGGCGGCCAGCGCCACCGCGGTTGCGTCGGTCGAGCCAGACTAGCAGGCCGCTGTGCGCGCGAGCTTGCGCGCGCTAGCGCGGCCGCTGCGATGCGCCAGTCAGCCCCGAGCAGCCATCGCAATTGTTGCCGCATGTGTTTTGCAAACCAAATTGCGGGTAGGTGGGTGGGGTGATTGCGCGAGCAGTGGGTTTGACAATTGCAAGTTTTGCAAGGTGAATTGCATTACGTCGATTTACACGTAGAATGTACCGCATAGCCTTCATTATGTAAATTGCACCGCGCTGTCTGCACCACATGTATTCTCCTTTTCAAAAAAAAAAACAGAATAGGATCTCCCCCCCCGCTGGCGTTATCACTCCCCCATTCGGGTCTGTAAATCATATATGGTTGTGACCACATGTCCATCCTAAATATGAATTTGTACTATTCCAGAGGGGGCCTGTCTCCCCCCCCTGCGTTTTTTTGGTTATATATATGTGTTAAAAAAACCACACTACGCGGTGACATTTTTTGCTTAGCATCGCATTTTGTTCACGGATCCCTTGCGAAAAAAAGGACGAAGTGCGCACGCGCGCGTCGTCGCGCGCGCATGCCGAAATCCTTCCAAAACTCTCGGTGCCGGAAGGATTTCGCAATCGAGCTTCCACAAAACATACAAAAACACAGGGTTTCGCAACACTGCTTTGCTAAAACAACTTCCGCGCGAGCTTTTGCGAAATCTTGAAAAAAACGTAGTTTTTTTCCAGGATTTTCGCAACATGCTAGTAGACGGGTTTCGCGCGCGCATGTCGAAATCTGTCGAACGCCTTTGCGCGTGTGCCGTCGCGAGAACCCTCTGCAAAAAATGAGGCGAAGTGCAGACGCGCGCGTCGTCGCGCGCGTATGCCGAAAACGTTCAAAACCCATCGGTTTCGGAAGGATTTCAAAATCGTGTGTCCAAAAAACTTACAAAAACAGAAGGTTTCGCAACACGGATTTTCAACAAAAGCGTGCGCGCGCGCTCTTGCATCGTCGTCGTCGTCGTCGTCGCCGTCCTCCCTCCTCCCGCGTCGTTGTCGTCGTCGTCGCCTACGTCGTCCTCTGTCTTTCCTCGTGTTCGTCGTCGTCGTCCTCTTTTGCGTCGTGGTCGTTTCCGTCGTCGTTGTTGCCGTGGTCGTCCTTTCTCCTCCTCCCTCGTCGTCGTCGTCGTCCGTCGTCGGCGTCTCGTCGTCGTCCCTCCTATTTCGTCGCCGTCGTCGTCGTCGCCGTTGTCGTCGTCGTCTTCCCTCCTCCCTCGTCGTTGTCGTCGTCGGCGCCGCCGTCCTTCCTCCTTCTTCGTCGTTCGCGTCGTCGCCGTCCTTCCTCCTCCGTCGTCGTCGTCTTCGTTGGCGACGTCGTCGTCGTCTTCGTCGTCGTCGGCGTCGGCGTCGTCGTCGTCGAAGTCGTCGGGGACGTCGTCGGTGTCGTCGTAGTCGTCGTCGTCGTCGTCGTCGTCGTCGTCGTCGTTGACGTCGTCGTCGTCGTCGTCGGTGTCGTCGTTGTCGTCGTCGAAGTCGTTGGAGACGTCGTCGTTGTCGTCGTAGTCGGTGTCGGCGGCGCCGTCGTCGTCGTTGTCGCTGTCGTCGTCGGCGTCGGTGTCGTGGCCAAGTGTCATGTGGTACGTACCGTCACGGTCTTGCCTCAAGAGGTCTTGCGACCAAGTTGCGGGTGGGAGGGTAGGATGTTTGCACGAGCAGTGGAGAGGACAGCTTCAAGGCGGTCAACCATCAATTGCACCACATAGCATGCCACAACACAATGTTTGGGGTCCGCGCTCGCTGACATGCTATTTCCCTTCTTCGGTCAGGGGCACTAAATCAGTCCGAGTTTGACCTGTTCGTCACCAACATCGAAGTCGTACAGTCGCTCCGCCATTTCGACGTCGATATCAAAGCGCTCATAACGCTGGCCGACATGATGTTCTCACACGTTTCCCCGGGAAATGATGCCGACAATTTTGCCTTGGGCTTCGACGACATCATGAGTTTGGCGGTGCGCCTCAAGGGCAACAGTGCGTGCCGTGTGGAGGACATCGTGAAGATGCGCGAGTTCACCAAGTACCGCCTCCAGGAGCTGGAGGAGACCCTGGTCAGCAACAACAGGATGCTCGAGGAACACGTGGTGGCTAACCCCCGCCGCTCGCAGGCGGGCCCCGCAGAAACGGTGCGGAGCCAGGCTTTGCAGTGACGCGCGGGGTGGGACGCCCGGAGCCGAGAACCGCCTCGAGAGGGGGGAGGCCTGCAGAAGGCACCTACTGCGCACCGCAGTGCTTGGCAAGGGTCACCCTGGGCCCCAGAGTGGTGTACACGCAGACCCTCCTGGCCCCGGCCAGGCTTCGGCTCTGGCCCCTGTCACGGCTCCAGCTCTGGCTCATTCCGGCTCTGGCTCAGGCTCCGAGTCGGGGTGTCCCACTTTGGGCGCTTCAGGGCCGTCTTGGAGGTCCACGGGCCCGTCTCGGGGCCGTCTTGGGGCCCCCCAGGGCCTTTCTGCGGGCTTCTTGGGGGTCAATGGGCCGTGTTGGGGCGATCTCGGAGGCAGTATGGGGTGTGTTCACCCTGCTGGGGCCCGGGATGGCCCCTGGCCGGGCATGGCGGCGGTGTGCGGGGTGTGCTGTCTGCGCAGGGGGCCGCACCCTCCCGCGTCCGTTCTCGGTCCGTGCTTGTGCGATGTGTTTTTTTGTATCGCGATTGGCGTGGCGAACTGTGCCGCGCCGCTGCCGCTTGTCATCCGCGCTGCGAGTTGAGATCACCCCGTTGCTCCTCCTCCTCCTCCTCCTCCTCCGCCTACTCCTCCTCCTCCTCCAGCTGGCGGTCGCTTGGGAGGGGTACCCTTCTCGCTCCGCCTTGGAATGCTGTTCGTTGTGGGCATCTCCATGTGGCACTGGGCCTTCGGCGAACGGGTTCCGGTTCCTGACCCATTTTATTGTACTCCCTCCCAGGTTTCTCCTCCCTGCTTCATCCAACCCACTTCCTCCTTCCTTCTTCCTTCTCCATCCTCCCTCTCGCCTACACCGAGATCTAGGATCGTCTTTCCCCGGTGGAGGCCACCCCATGTGTTGGTGTTGGTGCCCATTTCCAGGCCTCCAAAAGCGGAGCTTCGCGCCACGTGCAGCGAGCACCTGGCGGCCAAGGTGTCGGTGAGACGCAGCTCCCGGATGTCGGAGCCATACGGCGGAGACGTCGTGGAGGGTCTTGGAGTTGTGTAGGCATCGTCGGGGTGGACGATATCAATTCCATAATAAGGACGAACGACTTTCCTCAGGGAAGTCTTCTGCCGTTGCCTCAGCGGCCCGTCCTTCACTGCTTCCACTGGCTAGCCCCTCAGGGTGCCCTTGGGGCTGGCGACGTCCTTCGGCTGCGCGGCGGGACGCTCCTCCGGGGGACAGCTCTGATGGTGCGGAGGGTACCCTTGCCTCCCTGGGGTGTGGCAGCCCGCCGCTCAAAGAGTGCCAACCTCGGCGTCCAAGGCCCTTGCGTCCTTACCGCCGGTCCTTATTGTAGTTTTTTTCTGCAAAGGGGGGGGGGAAAGGTCGGGGGAGGGAAAAGCACTTGACCCCCACAATCGGCGTTCACGGCACGGTGCTGCGCGCGAGCTCCTTGTAGATCGTCGAATCTTGCGCGATCCCTTCGGAAGGCGCGGCCGCTAACGGGCCTTACTGGTAGGGATGGTCGTCCTGCGGGTGTCTTTGCCTGCCCTCCAGAGGGGGTGGGTGGATACAACATCTGCTGCATGTAGCTGGTTTCCGTCCTGCTGCCCTGGGCCCCACGATCGCCCACGGCGCCAGGATGCGCCTGGACAACGGCCTCTTGTGGCGGATTGGTGACCCCCTCCTCTATGGTCCACCCCCCTCCTGTCGCCCACCCAGACATGTGCTTCAGATGCCGTACCGCCTCCGTCTTGTTCGGGCCTCTGGCTGTCGCAGGCAGCCGCCGGCGCTCACCCGCGGGCGACCCCAGCGGCACTGAGCGTCCCATGGGGAGGCCCTGGGCTGCGGACGCCCCAGGGAGCCCGGGGGGCGCCGACCGCCTCCAGGGCGCCGCTGGAGGCGCGCCACCTGGACGCGAGAGAAGCGTTCCAGGGCCGCGCGAGGCGCTCCAGGGGCGCCTCGTCTCACCCTGCACGCGCGCCACCTGGCGCACGGCTCGCGCTCGCTCCTGCCATGGGGTCGACGATGAGGCCGTTTTTCCACCTGCGGCGCGGGCCGCAGGGGCCCCGGCCGGGCAGAGTATCAAGTGGAGGCGTGGGAGGAGGAAGTGCAGGAGGGGGCAGGCGGGCGGGGGGAGACTCAGAGGAGGGAGGGAAGGAGGAGGAAGCGCAGGGAGGAGGAGGGAGGAGGGAGGGAGGCGGGAGGAGGAGGAAACGCAGGATGGGGAGGAGCTTGTCCGGCGGTCCTTTCAACGACCTGCTGGGCTTCGTCGGTTGCCCGTGAAGCTCGGTACTCCACACAAGCCCCGTTCAGGTTGCCTCCACTCCGTGACTGTTTGCACTTTCATATATCCAGGGGCGCTCTGGCAGGAGCGCGAAACGCGCTTGGCACCACACATGTCACGCAGCTCTCCTTCCACCCATGTCCAGAGGAGGAGGCCGGGAGATGTCAGGACGAGGATGAAGAGATGAGGAGGGGGCAGGGCATTCTGATATTAACATGATAATAATGATGCTAATGATGATGCTGCTGATGGTGATGATGATGGTGCTGATGATGGTGCTGATAAGAATGATATGAAAATGAAGATGCATATGAAAATGACGATGATGATGATGAAGATGAACATGATGGTGATGGTGATGCTGATGATGATGGTGGTGGTGATGATGATGCTGATGATGATGATGCTGCTGATGATGCTGTTGCTGCTGATGATGATGATGATGATGCTGCTGATGATGATGATGATGATGATGATGACGATGATGATGATGATGATGCTGCTGATGATGACGATGATGAATATGAAAATGAAGATGCATATGAAAATGACGATGATGATGATGATGATGAAGATGAACATGATGGTGATGGTGATGATGATGATGATAATGATGTTGATGATGATGATGCTGCTGCTGATGATGATGACGATGATGATGATGATGACGATGATGCTGATGACGATGACGATGATGATGATGATGATGATGATGATGATGATGATGATGATGATGATGATGATGATGATGATGATGCTGATGATGATGATGATGATGATGATGATGATGATGATGAGGATGATGATGATGATGATGGTGATGATGACTAGGACGTCTGGCGATCTTGACAGTGATCATGATGAGGACGAAGAGGCTTCGGATACGGAGGTGGTCGACAGGTTACGGGCCGGCGTCGCCCAGCTCTGGCTCCGGCGCGCCCAGAAACTGGGACCCACGCCGCTCCCAGGGTCTGGCTCCAGGGACGGGCCTGGGGAGGAGGATAGGGGGGGGGAGGGGGAGGAGGAAGCAGAGGAGGAGGGCGAGGAGGAGGAGGAGGAGGAGCAGGAGGAAGAGGAGGAGAAGCAGGAGAAGCGAGGAGGAGGAGGATGAGGAGGAGGGAGGAGGAGGAGGAGGAAGAGGAGGAGAAGCAGGGAGAAGGAGGAGGAGGAGGAGGAGGAGGAGGAGGAGGAGGAGGAGGAGGAGGAGCAGACGGATGAGGAGGAGGAAGAGGAGGAGGAGGAGGAGGAGGAGGAGGAGGAGGAGGAGGAGGAGGAGGAGGAGGAGGAGGATGAGGAGGAGGAGGAGGAGGAGGAGGAGGGGGAGGAGAAGGAGGAGGAGGAGGAGGAGTTGGAGGAGGAGGAGGAGGCGGAGGAGGAGGAGGAGGAGGAGGAGGAGGAGAGGAGGAGGGGGAGGAGAAGGAGGAAGAGGAGGAGGAGGAGCAGGAGGGGGGGGGGGAGAAGGAGGAGGAGGAGGAGGAGGAGGAGGAGGAGGAGGAGGAGGTGGAGGAGGAGGAGGCGAGAATTTTGGAGAACTCTGGATTCCGAACTCTGGATTTGTTCAGCGACAGCTGGGAAAATCATCATGGGGGACACGAGTGCCAAAATAGGACGCGCGGAAGCTTGATAATCAGAAGTAGCTGGGCCGTTCACATGGGGCAGGCGAGTTCTCCGCCAAGTCGATGTTTTTGATTGAGATTTGCTGCTCGAATGTTGTTTTAGATTGGACCTGCGACTCGCATATGCTTCTGTTGACCAGCCCTTGGAGCAGGCCGTCACTCTCATGGAGGGGGGGGGGGGCGGTGCCGCTGGGCGACATCACAGAGGAGCAGTGCAATATCTAGGATCATGTTTTGTGCGACGCCGTTACTCTTGGACAGATGCGATCTTTGCGCAGCCACCGACAAACAGCTCCTCGCCACATGGAGCGGGAGAAGAAGGAGGAGGAGGAGGACTCAACAGAGTTCAACATTCTGCACGAGGGGCCGTCCTTGGTTGGACGGGGCCACGCGTGGGGGGCGGCCAGTATGCAGCTGCATTCACGCGCTGCGGATGTCGGCTGCACCAGCTCTCTCGCACTCGCCAGCCCCGCACTGTTTCCCAGAAGCTGGGCGAGGGCTGGCAAATCCGTGGCTGCTAAACGGTCTTCCCGGAAGAAGAAAACACATTCCCGGAATAAATCTCAGGCGCGCTAAGTAGTAAACGGATTGCTTCCCAGAAGAAAGAACGACAAATTCCTGGAGCTCCGTTTTAGCAGCCACGGGTTTGCCAGCCTTCGCCTGGCTTCTGAATTTCTGCACAGGGCCACTACCCGCCCCGTTCACTGCAGAACGTCCTCGGACGCGCTGATCCACAGCATGTAGCTGAAGGCGCCTGCCCCAGCGTCTCTCACGTGCCTTCACCCAGGTGCTGTAACAGATGGCGCTCGGCTCCAGCTCCTCTCACGGAGGCGCATCGGCTTCCACTTCCAGGCGTTGCCCCAGGTCTGCAGCTGCAACGTGCTGGCTCCAGCTTCGCCTCACAGCAGCGCCTAACCTTGGTCGTTGATCCCACGGTTGTAGCGGATGGCGTCGGGCTCCATCTTCTTCTCGCAAGTGCTCTCTGTCTGCCCCTTAGGGGGCCCCGGAAACGGCAGGGCCGTTTTTTCACCGTTTCCGAAAAAGTGTCCCTTGAAAATGGAAACGGCAAAAAAACGGCGACCGGAAACGGCAACAAAAACGGCTCCAGGATTGGAACCAGAGCGGGAACCCGTAAAAGAACGGCGACGGAACCGGTAAAAAAACGGCGTCGGAACCGGCAACAAAAACGCAAAACGGAACCGGTAAAAAACGGGCCTGTCGTTTCCAGGGCCTACTGAGGTCTGCCCCAAGGCTGTAGCTGAAGATGTTGGGCTCCAGCTTCATCTCACATGTGCTTCTGCCGTGCCTGAAGACGTTGGACCCCAGCTCGTGAT